ATAATAATAATAATAATAATAATAATAATAATAATAATAATAATAATAATAATAATAATAATAATAATAATAATAATAATAATAATAATAATAATAATAATAATAATAATAATAATAATAATAATAATAATAATAATAATAATAATAATAATAATAATAATAATAATAATAATAATAATAATAATAATAATAATAATAATAATAATAATAATAATAATAATAATAATAATAATAATAATAATAATAATTAATAATAATAATAATAATAATAATAATAATAATAATAATAATAATAATAATAATAATAATAATAATAATAATAATAATAATAATAATAATAATAATAATAATAATAATAATATTAATATTAATAATAATAATAATAATAATAATAATAATAATAATAATAATAATAATAATAATAATAATAATAATAATAATAATAATAATAATAATAATAATAATAATAATAATAATAATAATAATAATAATAATAATAATAATAATAATAATAATAATAATAATAATAATAATAATAATAATAATAATAATAATAATAATAATAATAATAATAATAATAATAATAATAATAATAATAATAATAATAATAATAATAATAATAATAATAATAATAATAATAATAATAATAATAATAATAATAATAATAATAATAATAATAATAATAATAATAATAATAATAATAATAATAATAATAATAATAATAATAATAATAATAATAATAATAATAATAATAATAATAATAATAATAATAATAATAATAATAATAATAATAATAATAATAATAATAATAATAATAATAATAATAATAATAATAATAATAATAATAATAATAATAATAATAATAATAATAATAATAATAATAATAATAATAATAATAATAATAATAATAATAATAATAATAATAATAATAATAATAATAATAATAATAATAATAATAATAATAATAATAATAATAATAATAATAATAATAATAATAATAATAATAATAATAATAATAATAATAATAATAATAATAATAATAATAATAATAATAATAATAATAATAATAATAATAATAATAATAATAATAATAATAATAATAATAATAATAATAATAATAATAATAATAATAATAATAATAATAATAATAATAATAATAATAATAATAATAATAATAATAATAATAATAATAATAATAATAATAATAATAATAATAATAATAATAATAATAATAATAATAATAATAATAATAATAATAATAATAATAATAATAATAATAATAATAATAATAATAATAATAATAATAATAATAATAATAATAATAATAATAATAATAATAATAATAATAATAATAATAATAATAATAATAATAATAATAATAATAATAATAATAATAATAATAATAATAATAATAATAATAATAATAATAATAATAATAATAATAATAATAATAATAATAATAATAATAATAATAATAATAATAATAATAATAATAATAATAATAATAATAATAATAATAATAATAATAATAATAATAATAATAATAATAATAATAATAATAATAATAATAATAATAATAATAATAATAATAATAATAATAATAATAATAATAATAATAATAATAATAATAATAATAATAATAATAATAATAATAATAATAATAATAATAATAATAATAATAATAATAATAATAATAATAATAATAATAATAATAATAATAATAATAATAATAATAATAATAATAATAATAATAATAATAATAATAATAATAATAATAATAATAATAATAATAATAATAATAATAATAATAATAATAATAATAATAATAATAATAATAATAATAATAATAATAGAATAGAATAGCGTTTATTGACCAGTTACATACTACAGTACATTTATAGTCCTTATAATATAATATAAATAAGCAGTGAAAGTAAGAGATTTATATATATAAAATATAAGTGAATACATAAAAATAATACAGTACAACAAAAAATTTTAAGAATGTAAAAATGTGAGCGTGTAAAAACGTTAAAATGTAAAATCTTAAAATATAAAATCTTAAAGTATAAAACTCTTAAAATGTAAAAACATAAAAAAAAGTCAAAATGTTAAAATTTATAATTATAAACATACAATATAAACACACAATACATAAAGCGCAAAAAAGGATATTAAAAATTTAAGTAAAATTTAAAAATTCATCTACAGAATAAAAACAATGTTCTAACAAGAAGTTCTTAGAAAGGGTATAGAATGGGTCAAATTTCATAGTTTTGATGTTTTTATCCTTAAATATAATGTTTAATTTGTTAAAAAAATGTATATTTAATTTGTTATTTTTAGTTATGCAGATTCTGGAGTACTGTGGAACTAAGTTATCTGCTCTCCTTGTATTATAGTCGTGTATGTCTGAGTGACTATTATAGTTGGCCATGTTACGAAAAATGGCGATTAATGTTTCAAAAATATAGATACATGGTAAGGGCAGTATTTTGAATTTTTTTAACAGTTCCTTACAATGAGTACGTCGATGTGTACCATCTATAATACGTATAGCAGTCTTTTGTAACGTAAATACTTTATGCAGACTAGAACAGGAGCCCCACAGTACTACACCATAAGCTAGATGACTGTGAATGATTGCGAAATAAATTGATCTCATCACACTGTTGCATTTTATGCATGATCTTAGTTGCCGCATTGCATATATTTGGCTTGATAACTTGGAACGGAGGCCATTGATTTGATGAGACCAATTTAATCCGCTATCAAATGTTATGCCTAATAGCTTTACAGGTTCTGATTTTTTTACAAATTTATCTGAACTAAATAACATGTTTTGTGTTTTATTAATATTTAATTTTAATCTATTTGATGCAAACCAGGTAGTTGCCAAATCTAAGTTTTCTTGACTAATATCAACCCCACTCTTGGTCAGAAAAGTGGTGTCATCCGCAAATAAAACAATATTACTTAGCTGGTGAACTGAAGTTGCCAAATCATTTATATATACCAAGAATAAAATTGGCCCTAAGACAGATCCCTGCGGGACTCCATTTTTTACTTCGTTAAGCTTAGAATTGTAGTTTTTATAACTAACGTACTGTCTACGGTTCTCAAGATAAGTAGAGAATAACTTTAGTTCTTTGTCACGAAAACCATAATACTCCATTTTCTTAATTAATATATTTTTATCGACACAATCGAAGGCTTTTGATAAGTCGACCATAGTAGCATGTACATTTGACCCTTGATCAATGCCTTCCGTAATATACTCAACAACTTTAACAAGGGCAGAGATGGTGGATTTATTTTTTTGAAATCCAAACTGATTCATTGATAGAATTGACTTGCTTTCAAGATAGGATATTAATTTTTCTTTTATAAGTTTTTCGAATATCTTAGATAGAATTGGAACTATCGCAATTGGCCTAAAATTGTCGACAGTATCCACATCACCATTTTTATGGATAGGTACAACTCTAGAAATTTTAAATGTACTAGGCCAATTACCCTCCTCTATGCACTTGTTAAAGAGTTTTGTAATCGGATCCAACAAGGAGTCAATCGAAGTTTTGATCATACATGCATTTAAACCAAAGTAATCAAATCCAGGTTTATTTTTTAAAGAGAGAATTGCTTGACGTACTTCTGACTCAATAATTGGTGTCATGAAGAAAGAAGAAGAAGGCTTAGGAAGCTTATTCAAATAATACATTGGATCATAAGTTTTACTGTTTATGCTGCCCAAGATCGTTTCTGATATAGATGAAAAGAAATCATTAAAAGTATCGCAATCGATAGAGGTCGGACTACTCAGTTGAGCTTTTCCGTGTCTCTCATGATTTACAATTTTCCAAATCGTTTGGGATTTATTAGTGGATGTAATTATAGTATCCTCATAAGCCCTTCTCTTAGCTTCCTTTAAAGCTTTCCTATATTGTTTTCGCAATTCGCAGTAACTTGACCAATCAATAGGAGAATTTGATTTTACAAACACATATCTACTACCTGATACCATCCGACGCAATTCCTTCAGCTCATTTGTGAACCATTTTATTTCAGGCCTTTTGTAACTAATTGGTTTTAATGGGAAACAAACATTTGCATTTTTAGATAGGGTGTTAACAATTAAACTTGCAGCTTCGTTGGATTCAAGTTGGTCTATTCCAAAATCGCACCAGTTTACGCTATAAAGTGAGTTTGCAAAATTTAAGAGATTTGAGTCATTAACAACTCTTTTTTTATAATGTATGTTACATTTAGTTGGCCTTTTATTGAAGAATATAAAAGTACCAGAGTGATCTGAAATAAAAGGTTCATACACGTCAGTATACATAATATCTGGATTTATATTTGTGATAATATTATCGAGACACGATCTAGTCGTCATAGTGATTCTAGTTGGTTTATTGATATGATGATTCAACCCATACATACTGAATATATTTTGCAGCTCTATTGAGTACTCACTGCTTCCATTAAGGTCCTGATTAATATCTCCCATAATAATTATTGAATCATATTTATGATACAAATAATCGACAATATCTGTAAATTGTTCGATAAACTTTTTCATATCACCCCTGCTGGAGGATCTATAAGTAGCTAAAATAATACATTTTTTATTCATGAACTCTGCAGCACAAAATTCAGCGTCTACAGGTATACAAAACTTCAATACATCAATATTTTTTATTTGAAAATTTACTTTGGCAAGAATAGCAACACCACCATGTAATTTTCTTTGGCTTCTGCAGAATGAAGAAATTAGTTTGTAGTCCGTAATCTTTACAATTTTTAAATTATCTACGTCAAGCCAATGCTCAGTAATACAAATAATGTCAAAAGGGTTTTCGTTTAAAAATATATTTAAAGAGTCAGTCTTATTGGAAATACTCTGTACATTTAAATGAAAAGCAGAATACTCAAATTTGTCAAATAGATTAAAATTATGATTAAAATTATGTGAAGACAAATTATAACTAGGATTAACATTAATCACTGTTAATTTTTCTTCTTTCGTCGTAACTGGGATGTTTTCTTGAACGAAAAAAATGATTTAAAACTACATAACTTGGCCAAATATCACTTTTTAATATGCAATCCGATTCATCAGCAGGAACAGATACCTTGAAAGATGCATATGACTGGAGGTATCTTGAGTTCAGTTTTTCTAAGCGTACATGAGGTGCAATATTTTGTAGATATTTAAGGAGCTCTTTATCATCTACATTGGGTTCCAAATTAGTGACGTGATAGCTCTTAATATTATTATCGTTTCTTTTATTTTCAGCTGAGGATCTTGCAGCTTTGAAAGGACAGTTTTCCAAATTTTCATTATTCCCAACCAAAATATTGCGAGATCTTGTTCCATTCTCATTTCGGAAAGGCCTTTTATCGTTCGTTAAATTAACGATTTCGTGACAAACTTGCTCAGCTTTGGCGTTGTGAATGGCACTTGTCACGATATTTTTGGCAATTTGTTGTGTTGGTACTTGAGTGTTACTACCAGCCACATCATTATACAATTTACCTTTTTCGGTAGTTAATAACTTTGAGGATGTTGAAGGCCTAAGGGTGGAATTTAGGTTTGGGACCATTTGTTTCATAAGTTCTTTCATAAGTTCTAATTGCTCTCTTAACGACGTAATAGCTATTTCCTGGTTCTTAATTGTAAGATCTTTCTGCTGTATCAAATCTTCGAGGTATTTTATGGTTAATTTATCCACAAAAGCGGCTCCAAGTTGTTCTTCTAACTGAATTTCGGGCTCAGCAGAGGAGTCCGATTTTTTTTCCTCTGTATCCCCACAGCAGATGACTGTACCATCTTTAAAAAATCGTACATTTTTCTTGTCTTTGAGACAGCAGTTGTGGGATAAGGTACCGCATTTTAATAATAATAATAATAATAATAATAATAATAATAATAATAATAATAATAATAATAATAATAATAATAATAATAATAATAATAATAATAATAATAATAATAATAATAATAATAATAATAATAATAATAATAATAATAATAATAATAATAATAATAATAATAATAATAATAATAATAATAATAATAATAATAATAATAATAATAATAATAATAATAATAATAATAATAATAATAATAATAATAATAATAATAATAATAATAATAATAATAATAATAATAATAATAATAATAATAATAATAATAATAATAATAATAATAATCCAAACGAATCATACACAAAATCTGTACCACATAAACAACTTTATTCAATTTTTTGATTAAGCGACTAGTTTCGGCCAACTGGCCATCTTCAGGCCTACAATATAAGAACTTATGTCTAAGGAGAAAAAACATACAGATCAACAATACTTACATTCATATATAAAATTATCTTCTACACCAGATTATTGACATTGGACAGAATGAGTTACAAGATTAATTAAAAGTATAGATGAAGATTATGTGGTAAACATAAGTAAAAAATAAATGTTATAAAGGTTTAAATATTGAAAATTAGGAATTAATTAACAAGTAATCACCGGTAAGGTGATCAGAAATGACGGGAGTGTGCGACATCCCTGTTAAAAAATTGAGAGGTGATCCAAAGTTATAGGAGTATGTGACATCCCTATTGAAAGAAAAAAGATTAACATGGTCAATTCTCAAATAATTATTTTTAACCAGATAAAGGTTAAAAGTTGAGTAAATTTGGTAAAATTAAGAGCAAAATTTGAAAATCTCAAAATTATGTCTTGCAAGAATAGACAAGATGGCGGAAACCGGAAATGAAAAAGTAAAATTAAGTAATGTCATATGTCAATGTCAACAATGGCGCTAACAATTTAAATTAAGGTGAACAATAAGTTTATTAAAAAACACAGAAATTTGTTTAAAAGGTAGCAATTAAATTGAAATAAAATAGAAATGATATGAAAATTTACTCAACTTTTAACCTTTATCTGGTTAAAAATAATTATTTGAGAATTGACCATGTTAATCTTTTTTCTTTCAATAGGGATGTCACATACTCCTATAACTTTGGATCACCTCTCAATTTTTTAACAGGGATGTCGCACACTCCCGTCATTTCTGATCACCTTACCGGTGATTACTTGTTAATTAATTCCTAATTTTCAATATTTAAACCTTTATAACATTTATTTTTTACTTATGTTTACCACATAATCTTCATCTATACTTTTAATTAATCTTGTAACTCATTCTGTCCAATGTCAATAATCTGGTGTAGAAGATAATTTTATATATGAATGTAAGTATTGTTGATCTGTATGTTTTTTCTCCTTAGACATAAGTTCTTATATTGTAGGCCTGAAGATGGCCAGTTGGCCGAAACTAGTCGCTTAATCAAAAAATTGAATAAAGTTGTTTATGTGGTACAGATTTTGTGTATGATTCGTTTGAATAACTCGACCACATTTGAGAATATGGATAATCTTTCGTCAATAATAATAATAATAATAATAATAATAATAATAATAATAATAATAATAATAATAATAATAATAATAATAATAATAATAATAATAATAATAATAATAATAATAATAATAATAATAATAATAATAATAATAATAATAATAATAATAATAATAATAATAATAATAATAATAATAATAATAATAATAATAATAATAATAATAATAATAATAATAATAATAATAATAATAATAATAATAATAATAATAATAATAATAATAATAATAATAATAATAATAATAATAATAATAATAATAATAATAATAATAATAATAATAATAATAATAATAATAATAATAATAATAATAATAATAATAATAATAATAATAATAATAATAATAATAATAATAATAATAATAATAATAATAATAATAATAATAATAATAATAATAATAATAATAATAATAATAATAATAATAATAATAATAATAATAATAATAATAATAATAATAATAATAATAATAATAATAATAATAATAATAATAATAATAATAATAATAATAATAATAATAATAATAATAATAATAATAATAATAATAATAGATAGATAGATAGAATGTTTATTGACTACGTTACATACATTGAGGTACATTTGAAGTCAGGTCAATAATTGTAATAATATAAATAGTAAAATGTGACATTAGAATAAAATATTCAATTAAGATACAATTTAAAATACAATTTAAAATACAATGAAATAAAATATAACATCACGATAACAGTAACAAAATACAAATACAATTATTAAAAAATTAACATCAAGATTTCTAAAAGTATTGATACAATAATTTAAACACAATACATAAACCCAATAAATATAAAAAGTGGTAAAAGAACAAATAGTGTATATATTATTTTAATTCGTTTATAAATTCGTCAATGCTATAAAAACAATAATTTAATAAAAAGGTTTTTGTAATGTTTTTAAATTGAATGTGTGTCATCGAGTCCATAATAATAATAATAATAATAATAATAATAATAATAATAATAATAATAATAATAATAATAATAATAATAATAATAATAATAATAATAATAATAATAATAATAATAATAATAATAATAATAATAATAATAATAATAATAATAATAATAATAATAATAATAATAATAATAATAATAATAATAATAATAATAATAATAATAATAATAATAATAATAATAATAATAATAATAATAATAATAATAATAATAATAATAATAATAATAATAATAATAATAATAATAATAATAATAATAATAATAATAATAATAATAATAATAATAATAATAATAATAATAATAATAATAATAATAATAATAATAATAATAATAATAATAATAATAATAATAATAATAATAATAATAATAATAATAATAATAATAATAATAATAATAATAATAATAATAATAATAATAATAATAATAATAATAATAATAATAATAATAATAATAATAATAATAATAATAATAATAATAATAATAATAATAATAATAATAATAATAATAATAATAATAATAATAATAATAATAATAATAATAATAATAATAATAATAATAATAATAATAATAATAATAATAATAATAATAATAATAATAATAATAATAATAATAATAATAATAATAATAATAATAATAATAATAATAATAATAATAATAATAATAATAATAATAATAATAATAATAATAATAATAATAATAATAATAATAATAATAATAATAATAATAATAATAATAATAATAATAATAATAATAATAATAATAATAATAATAATAATAATAATAATAATAATAATAATAATAATAATAATAATAATAATAATAATAATAATAATAATAATAATAATAATAATAATAATAATAATAATAATAATAATAATAATAATAATAATAATAATAATAATAATAATAATAATAATAATAATAATAATAATAATAATAATAATAATAATAATAATAATAATAATAATAATAATAATAATAATAATAATAATAATAATAATAATAATAATAATAATAATAATAATAATAATAATAATAATAATAATAATAATAATAATAATAATAATAATAATAATAATAATAATAATAATAATAATATTTATTTATTTATTTATTTACCACATTACATACAATAGTACATTTGAGGTTAATACAATGTTAAAAAAAATAAAATTTTAAAAATATGAATTTAAACTAGCAATAGCTAGATGGTCTACAATAAAGAACAATACAAAATATAAGAAAAATACAATAATACAGTAATATAAAATATGAATTTAAGCTAGCAATAGCTAGGTGGTCTAAAATACAGAAAATACAAAATATAAGAAAAATACTAAAATACAGTAATACAGCACAACAGTTAGTTAAAACAAATAGTGAACATTTATTTTAGTCAAAGTACATATATTCTTCTACTGAATAAAAACAATGTTTTAAGAGGAAAACCTCGACAAATGTCTTAAATTTTTGTGTAGTCATGATTGGTATATTTATATCTCTGTTTTGATTTTTGAACTTATTATATAAATTAACATCTAGTTTATTTTTTTTTGACATTTGTGTACGCGAGAAACTTTGAACTAGATTACTAGCATTTCTCGTTCCATATGAGTGGATATTTTCATGACTTATATGTTTATTTAAATTACGATGGATAATTGTAAGTGACTCTAAAACGTAAATACAAGGAACAGGGAGTATACGGTATTTTTTAAATAGCTCTCTGCAGTGGGCATCAGGTTGTGCGGCATCTATGATTCTAATAGCTCTTTTTTGCATTTTAAATACTCTTTCCACATATGTTGAGTTGCCCCACAACGTAATTCCGTACTTTAGGTGGCTATGTACAATAGCAAAATAAACTGTACGTATAGTATTTTTACAAACACAATAACTTAACTGCCGCATTGCAAACACTTGGGAGGCCAACTTAGCGCAGAGAGTTTCAATGTGTTCTGACCAATTTAAGTGAGTATCTAGAGTTACACCTAAATATTTTACAGGCTCAGATATGCTGACTAGTTTACTGGAAGTAAACAAAATTTCTTGAGTTTTACTTGGATTTAATTTTAGTTGATTTGCTGAGAACCAATCTTTTATATTCTCGTAGCTCTCTGCGCTTTGTTGTCGAATTCCTTGCGTTGCAAGCGTGGTATCGTCTGCAAACAGGAAACACTGTGAGCTCCCAGCTGCAACTGGTAAATCATTAATGTACAATAGAAATAAAACAGGACCCAACACGGAGCCCTGTGGGACACCATTGTCAATTGAAGAAAGATCAGATTCTAAATCGTTGCAGCTGACATATTGTTTCCTATTTGTTAGATAGGACTCGAAAAGTCGCAACATATTACCTCTAATACCATAGTACTGCAACTTACTAAGTAAAATGTCTTTGTTTACACAGTCGAATGCTTTGGTGAGGTCGCACATACTAACTATAGTATCTGCTCCCTCATCAATACCTCCGACCACATATTCGATCAATGCAGAAAGTGCGCTTACTGTAGATTTGTCCTGACGAAAACCAAATTGAGCAGGTGTCAGTAAAAATTTACTTTCACAATAATGCACTAGTCTTTCTTTAATTATTATTTCGAAAATTTTACCTAACAGAGGAACAATGGCAATAGGTCTATAGTTATCAACTGAGTCCTTGTTACCTTTCTTATATACTGGAATGATTTTACTTATTTTTAGAGAGTCAGGCCAATTGCCATCCTCAAGACATTTGTTATAAAGCAGAGTTAATGGCTGAACTATAGAATCCAAAGACAATTTTAACATTTGACTATTTAATCCATAGTAGTCTTGACAAGGAGAATTTTTTAGCTTTAAAATAGCTTGGCGAACATCTGATTCAATTATTGGGACTATAAAGAAGGAAAAAGATGGTTTTCTAATTTTATTCAAATAAAACAAAGGATCCAAATTTGTATCTTCGATTGTACCTACTATGACGGTTGCAATATGACTAAAAAAGTCATTAATTTCATCCGGACTAATAGACGGCGAAAAAGTAAAATTAGATTTAGCCTTTCTCTCTGAATTTACCAGTTTCCAAATTGTTTTATTTTTATTATCGGAATTTATTATCTCAGAATTATAATAATTTCTCTTTTCCTCCTTTATAGTTTTTTTATATAATTTTCTCATTTCAGTATACGTGAACCAATCATCTAAATTGTTACTGATATTAAATATTTTTTTAGAATCAAACACTAATTTTCTCAAGTGTTTTAGACGGTCATTGAACCAGCTTGCTTTATTTTTATTAATTTTAATAGATTTTAGGGGAAAACAAATATTAACATTGCTACAAATGCTATCCAACACCATATCAGTCAAATTCGATGAATTTAATGCCTCAAGTCCTAGACTACTCCAATTTACTATAGCTAATCTATCAGAAAAGTTTTTTAGTCTCTTATCATTTATAATTCTGGTCTTTTTCGTCAAACTTTCATAAGTTTGTAGACATTTTACTTGTACGTTTAATGAAAAATGATCGCCTATATCTACATCGATTACATCAACATCCAACTCATGCAAGTCATAATTAGAAATCACATTATCTAAACATGATCTGGATGTGGGTGTGACTCGAGTTGGGACATGCACATGATGTTGTAAACCATACATACTCATAATATTTCGCAAATCATTAGAATGCTCATTATTACTGTCAATGTCCACGTTTATGTCACCAACGATAATAATTTTTTTATAATTACCATAGAGATAATGTATTAAATAGGTAAACTGTTGTTTGAATATTTTTATGTCTCCATTTGAGGACGACCTGTATAATGTGACTAAGATGTTGCTCTTATTTAGTATCTCAGAAGCACAAAATTCTGCATGTACTGGAATGCAAAATTTACTGACGTTAATTTCTTTAATTATTATAGTAGGTTTTGAATAAATAGCTACACCCCCATGCCCAATACTTTCTCTGCAATAGGAGGTAATTAATTCATAATTTTTAACTTTAATCATTTCTAGGTTATTACTGTTTAACCAATGTTCAGAAAAACACAAGATATCAATTTCATTATCGGAAGTAAAAATATGCAATCTATCTATTTTATTTGCTAAACTTTGGACATTAACATGTAGTAAAGAGAGGTTATTATTTGGATATTTTTTCATACAGTTAGGTGTTTCATTGGGTTGGTTTCTTATTTGACCGAAAAAAACTCGTTTAAGTAGATACCTTGAGGCCATACATCCGTTTGAAGTATCTTAGATGATTCCGCAGTTGGGATGATTATTTTGAATGAGGCGTATTCTTCGGGATATCTTGATTTGAGCTTTTCTACTTTAATATGAGGGTCAATGTCTTGTAGATGTTTTTTTACGTCTTCCTCTGAGGCATTTGGGTGCCAGTTGGTAGAGTGGTAGTAGCTCATGCTCTCACGTTTGGCAGCATTTAGGTTTGTTTGCAAATCAGTTCTAGTTCCAACTAAAATATTCTTTGGTTTTTGGTATCTTCTGAAATTATTATTGTTTAATTTTATAATTTCATTACATACATTAGCTGCTTCAGCTTGGTGGACGGCTGAAGAAATATCAGATGGTATAAAGGTATGCACTGATTTCTTTGTAGTATTGGCGTATCCCTGTATATCCTTTGAGTTTGCTATGGGTACATTTTTTATCCCTTCTCTTATAGTTGGTATAGAAGACTCTTGAAAGGTATTTCGATTGTTATTTCTTAAGGTTGCTGTACTTTTAAGGGATACTATATCTTCTGTAAGCAAATTGATCTGTCCTTGCAGAGCTTTTATTGCAATTTCCTGATTAGAAATAACAAGATCTTTTTGTTGAAGCAATTGTTCTAAGAATGTAATTTTAACTTCATTAATATTTTCTGAAGAATGCTCTACTACTGAAGGAATTTTTGGTAGATCATTGTTGTCAATGCAGCAGTTAATAGATTCATTGTCTATGTAAACAATATTTTTTAATCCTGGCACACAACTGTTATGTGAGATAGTACCACACGTCACACATCGTAAACCCGATTTAGCAGGATTTTTACACCTCTTACAACGGTTTATTAAATCACTAGGGGTATCATTGCCCATTTTTCAGCAAACAAAGAGTATCAATACAACAAATTCACAACTATTTCCAAATTATTTTATTACCGTGGTGGAATAGACCGGGTCAACCCAGCAAAAAAGCAAACGATAATAATGTTTTGTACTCACATAAAATGAGAAAGATCGTATCCAAACAATTTTTTTACACTTGATTTACTTGATTTACACAATTTTAAACCACAAACACTCATACAGGCACTATATGCACAATGACATATTATGCACTAATTATAAACAATTTAATTAACTTTATACAGTAGATTTAGGCAACAGAACACGGAGCCTCTTTACGATGATGTTCACTATATAATAATAATATAAATAATAATAATAATAATAATAATAATAATAATAATAATAATAATAATAATAATAATAATAATAATAATAATAATAATAATAATAATAATAATAATAATAATAATAATAATAATAATAATAATAATAATAATAATAATAATAATAATAATAATAATAATAATAATAATAATAATAATAATAATAATAATAATAATAATAATAATAATAATAATAATAATAATAATAATAATAATAATAATAATAATAATAATAATAATAATAATAATAATAATAATAATAATAATAATAATAATAATAATAATAATAATAATAATAATAATAATAATAATAATAATAATAATAATAATAATAATAATAATAATAATAATAATAATAATAATAATAATAATAATAATAATAATAATAATAATAATAATAATAATAATAATAATAATAATAATAATAATAATAATAATAATAATAATAATAATAATAATAATAATAATAATAATAATAATAATAATAACAACGAAAATAATAATAATAATAATAAATAATAATAATAATAATAATATTAATAATAATAATAATAATAATAATAATAATAATAATAATAATAATAATAATAATAATAATAATAATAATAATAATAATAATAAAAAGAATTTAATGACAATTTCACAAATTCTTTATTATTATTATTATTATTATTAATATTATTATTATTGTTATTATCATTATTATTATTATTATTATTATTATTTTGTTAGATTAAGCACTTAATTACAAATAATTATCTTTTATTCATTTATTTTGTTCTCAAAATAAAATAAAATTTATGTGTCTGATCTTTAAATGACTTTTATTCAAAAAAAATTGTTATGTAAGATATTTTAAATATTATGTCTTCGAGTAGGAAATTGCAAGATCTATCAAAATCAAGAAAAAAAAATTGGGGTTACTATTTAAAAAAATTGTCAATGACGTCACTGCCTAAAAATGGGAAGTGGGGGAAAATTGAATTCTATTTAAAAAATTGCGCTTTGAGTAAGCAAAATTGACCTGTCCGAGCATTTTTTTGAAAAACCAACTGTTTCCATTATAATGAATTTATTCCTTTCATTTGAACCATACCGTATATGCGGATTTTTAATAAAAAAAATGTCTTAAAATTCACAGTTGCGATGTATGTACACAATATGCCTTACCACACGAAGACTTGGATACAAGCTCCATGTATTGTTATTATAAAGTATACTAAAAAAGCAAATGAAGATATTTTTGGCAATTTAAAAATGTCAAATAATAGTTTTGTATGTTTAATAACAAAAATTGAAATAATTTTTCAACACAATTTTGAATTATTTATCACTAAATCCGGCGTTTGTAATTTTTTTTTAGATTTAATTAATTCCGAGATAACATTTGACGCTCCTTGTCCCCGATTTCCAGAAATATATGTTATTAAGTTATATTTAAGGCTACTCATATATTACACTTTAAAAATATTAATAGAAATTATAAGACCATTAATAAAAACAAGCTAATTATTTGGCGCAATCTGTAAAGCATATTGTCTTTCTTAATGCTGTTCTTATAAGTTAAATTATAATATATTTTACGTAAATTTTCACTTTTTTGTTTTAATACGATCCTGCCTATCAATGACTTATTTTATTACAAAATCTTTAAATACGCTTTAATCCAACCCTGACTAAGACCCCCTATGTATAATCAGGTATTATCGAAATTATACGAGGTAACTTAACTAAATTGAACGTTCTAATTGGTTAAAAGTTATACGAAAAAAATAATCATTGTTATTTCGTAGTTTTTAACTTGTTTTTGTGCTGTGTTTAGGCTGTATTTTGATTTTTTATTTTCAAATTTCCGTCATCGAGCCTTTAAGTTCTGCTATATATTATTATTTTAATAAATAAAAAATTGTAGAAAAATAAACGTAATCCTATATATAATATTGGGGTTAAGTAAAATGAAGGTTAAACGTTAAAATTTTAAAATATTCTTAAATACATGAAGGCTATTTGTTATGTTCCAAAGCAGTCCAAGCTTTAAATTTCGACTTTTCATAATGAATATTGTTTGTACTTTTTGAAATCGTTTAGTTTCTGTGCACTTATTTGCACTTTTCTTCACTATTTGTGTTTTTTCAAAGTATATAAATATATGGCGGGACGATCGTCAAAAACGAATTCTGTCTTTTTTAATATATTTCATTTATTAATGAATCAATTTTATTGTCCTTAGGCTCATTTTATAGGCAACTAAATATGCTTCCAGACAGACATAACAAAATGCCAGAAATGTAAAATTTAAGATGGCCGACCTAATTGAAGAAAAAAAAAACGAGCCTAAAAGTAACCCATTTTAATCTTGTTTTGCGTAATAATTATAAAATATATATAAAATCTAATAACAAAAGTTAAATATCTAACCAATTTTCTTTATTTTAAGACCACTCCGAGCACGATTGGTCCATTCTATCGTAAGATATAGACAATCAAAGTTGTCTAGTTTTTATGTTTTCATAGAAGCTTATAATAACATCATTATGCTTTGCAACGCTGCTATTTTAGTTTTTGACCGATTTGGACCCAATGTGTCTGATTTGGTAGGTATTTAAATATACTTTCCGACCATTAAATTAAAATGGCGGAAATTTTAAATTCAAGGATGGCGAACCTAATTGAAATATGAGTCGATTTAGAGCTAGTTTATTTTTGGTAAATCTGGGAGCATAGTTAGTTATCTATAACATGGAGCCTAAGAACAGTAAAATCGGTTTATTATTTAAAAAATGAAAATAAAAACAAAATACAGTTTTTTATAGCCCACCCGGTAAAAATAAAACATAACAATTTAATTTATTTTTTATTTTATTTCTGGAACGAGGTTAAACACTGTTTTTATCGAGAAAGAAACTTCTTGATATCATGACAAGTTCTGGAAAGAATGAAATTAATAGAATTTGCTCACAATACCGCTAGATACTTTTTTGAAAAGTACCCACGGACAATATGCCTCCGACATTGCACAAATACTTTATACCTGAGCCTGAAATAATATCTTCTGCTTTGTTGCCTGTAGACCAATTAACAGAGAAAACTAATGAGGACGTCTTTAATTCGTTTTTACTTAGTTTCGACCTTGTAATCACGAGCAAACGAAAATGAAAAAAGAAAGAACCTGCAGCACTTTCCTAAAAAGGCAGTAGATTTGTTTAAATCTGGACTCGTCCAGCTTCATAGCCATGGTATATTCATGACACTGATGATGACCGTGGAGACGATGAAGAAAATGTCTTATCACATTCTAAAGAGGATGAAATTTGATAACAATTATCATAGCTTTTCTAAATGAAATTATTATAATATTACATTTTTATTATCTGTATCTTTAACGTGTGGAGGGTGGATTACCCCCACTGCACTTAGACCTCATTAGGCCCATGACATTTTTATTATATTATATGTTAGTATTACAAAAGCAAATACATAGAGGGCTTAATAGAATATAAATTTTTATTATATTATATTCTTAATAACTTCCTATTTTTTTTTTTTTAGCAAACAAACACTTTATAAGCTCTCTATGTATTTTCATTTGTAATACTAACACCTCTACAAAGCAATATATAAATTCATAAAGAGAGTCTGTGATTTATTGCCAACTTTGATGGCTTGTTGCCCCAGTGTGCGACGACTCTGGGAGAGAAACGACAGATGCGCTCTATGGTTCGGCGGCATTGTTCATAAGCAATGTATGTTCTTTTGACTCTGCTTTCTAAGTGTGAATTGTACGTTAACTTGCTGTTAAAAGTAAGATAATAAAATTATCAATTAAATTAATTTCCATAACAGAGTTGTTTACTGTAAAAACAGAAAAGCTAGTACACAACAAATACAGTATTTTTTTATAATTTAACTTAATTGATCTCGATATTCTTCAAGTACTTTTAATTGATTCAAACTATTTCCAAAATCCACTAAAATTCCTAAAACACTTGGCAACTGTCGCTTTAAAATACGTGTATCTTTACAATCAGTTACATAAATAATAAACGTGTATCTAGACTGGAGTGACTGGCCCCTAATTTTAACGTCTGCCCAAACTTATATTTTAAAATAAAACTGTCTCAAGTTATGCCCGTGATTAAAAAGTCCTGTAAAATTAGGCGTGACTGTTCAATAAATTTGTCACACATCACAGCGACACTTCAGCTCAGGTATCAATTAAACCGATATATGTTGATTATTCTTTATTTTCGTTGGCAAACGTGCTTTGCTAGGTTGAAACTAAATTAATATTATATCTATTGAATCAATAATAAAACAGTTTTCGGTTACATGACCTAACTTAAAAAAATTACATTTGATTTTTTTTTTATTTACTAGCCAAATTATCGCCATCATTATGAATGGTTGACTCTTAAATTTTGATCTCCCTTAAAATTCTGAGAATCTCTAAGAGTAATGGGCACTGTCCTCTTATAGAGCTTGATTTTTGCTAAAAATTTCAAGTTGATATTATTGTTCCTGTATGAGTTAGGATTTTTAAAATTTTTCAACCTCCCCTTAACCCCTATTTTTATTAAAACATTTTTCAGAATTAATAGGCTTCATCTTCTCATAGAACTTGATTTTTACTAAAAATACTGATTTAGGATTTTTTTTAAATGGATTCTTGTACATTTCTATCATAAGTCCCATAAACAATTAATTTGATTAAATCTTTCTCACTCTAATTAGCATGCAAATTTTTTCAATAAAGTAATCTTTTTTTAATAACATAGGCTGTATAAGAATTACAGAGTGAGCCGTTAAAAAAGGAGGCTTCAAAAAGCAAACGTCCAACAATTTTTTTTGTGAAAATGACACTAAGAATTTAAAATTTTTCAATAAGCAATCTTTTTAAGAACATAATAGTCCAATTAAATAACGAAAAAAAGCCCCTTCGAGCTTACATTAATTTGTAATTGGATAAAACAAAGTGGACCTTGTGTATTTTGATGTGATCTTTCCGAAAAAAAGAAAAAAATTATGTAGCAGTTTTTCAATTTTTTTTAAATTACGAAAAACTGGGTTTTCCGGAATTTTCCATGGTAAAAATGTTAATTGTCTGGGCAAGTATCATTCTGATAGTAAAATTAAATGCACCAATCGAAAGAGAAGGCAAAAATAATTTGGAATTTCATTGCATAGGTAGTTTTAATGGCGAATTTCTCGCCGCCAGAAGTGCTTTTACCAAAAAGTTGTTTTTTCGTTTCTTTGATCAGAATCATGAACATGAAATTTGCGATGAATTTGTGGCGAAATTATAAATGTTAAACATATGTGCCCACAAGAGAAGTTGCGTATTTTTTTGTGGGTTCTCGAATAAAATAAGTCCCGCGGCGAAATCTGCCATAATTTTTCGGGAATTCGCAGGAAACCGGAAGGCGTAATTTTTTTTAATTTTTCCCCATATGATTTTCTCCGGGTTTTCCGAAAACATGTAACAAAAAATAAATTTGAAGAAACTAACTGCGCCATCGAAAAGAGCACAAAAAAATATACAAGAAGGTATACTTTAAAAATGTTAGGAAATTAATCCTAAGCTTGAGTGTAAGTTCCAACTTGGTGATAAGCTTGTTTTTTGTTCTCTTACATCTGGTTTTCTTCTCGGTTGATGCTCCATCCTCCTTTTTTTTTTGGCATTGTCAATCGCGGCCCTTTAATGCCTATCCCAGGTTTTATTAATAAACTCTTTTCCGTAACGTCGAGCTACGTTATGTTTGCGACACCTTTCATGCAATATAAAACCTGGTTCTAAAGAACTGAAAAAATCATTCCCTCTCTCTTTGCTGATTATCTGCAGACCTTTCAATCCTATCGGTCTAATTGGGGTAAGTTCACCCTCTGCAAGTTTCTGATGACATAATAAACACAGTCCAGCCATTGCAACCTGGAAATAAAAAAATTATAGCAATGTGATAGAATTTTCTTAATTTAAGAACGTACTTACTTAATAAATTGCTGAAGAAGTCCGAAAAACCACGTGTACACAGAGCTTGCTAAACACGGTTATTAAAAATCTATGCCGATATACACTATCAAGCGATTCAATTTGTAATAATATGACCGTTTCAAGTTTAAACTTGTCGGATAGCGAACGTCGAGACCATGACTATCCTTGATACGACGTCCGGCTAATTTTGCGGTAATTCTATTTTTTGCACAAAACTCAGTAAAATACAATTTAATAAATTTTAGGCTTAATAAATTTAGGTATGTAAGAAATTTAAAACGGGAAATCACAAAAAAATCAATTTACAGAAATGCACGAGTTTTGGATCCCGCGGAGCGCGTATAATGGAACTTTTGTCGGGAGAATTCTACAACTCAATTTTCAGACCAAAAAACTGAAAATCGTCAATTTTAGGCAACTTTTCTCAAAAACCGTGTTTTTTGGTCGTCACTCAATGAACAGTGGTCAAAAAAATAGATAAAATATTTTTGCAGAATTTTCCGTAATGTAATCATATTCTAAACATAATAGAGTATTAAAAAAAAAAGTTTTAAGTCATTGGGTGCATTTTTGGCATTTTTGTGCCACTTCAAACTTTCGAAAAAAAAATTAGTTTTTTTTTAGGAAAAAAAAAATTTGATAAATTGTTTAATATCTTGGCCAATTATAATCCGATTTCGGTAAAATTTACACACTTATAAGATTTCATATTTAAGAGTAAGCTCTGTAAGTGGCATTAAATAAATTTAAATAGTTTGGCCGTTATAGGCAAACACTGAAATTAGGCTTGCGGTACACTTTGCCCTTCCGCCATATGCCCAATTTTGGGATTTCTCCTGCCCCCTTCTGGGAATCAATAGTCACGTCCCTTAAGTTCAAAACGAATTTTTGCTTCTTCAAATATCTTAATTTTTGTCAAAGTTATGAAGAATTTAGTGTTTGAACATTTAACAAATTCAATTTTTCGACCTTCGCCGCCTCAAAATACTAAACAAATTTCAATCGTCCATACCGCGAGAACGGTGCATCCGATCAAAATTTCTCAGGAGACATAAAAATTAGCATTTTTGTTAAGCTTTCAATTGTTGTAAACTGCGTTTTAAAAATAATGATTTATTTGCGACATGCGCATGCGCAAAATTGAAAAATTGACAAAATCCAAAATTTCGGCACTTTCAAAAAACTGCTACATTTTGTTTTGCCTTTTTTCGAAAAGATCACCTCAAAATACATAGAATCCATTTTGTTTCATCTAATTACAATTTATTGTAAGCTCAAAACTGGTAATTTAATTCGAATATAAGATGTAAAAGAATTATACAATAAGCTGTCAAAAGAAGCTTCAAAAAGCATACGTCTAACAATTTACTGCGTTATAATGACTCCTAAAGGTTCAAATTTAAAATTAGGCCAGTCTCTTAATGTTAGAGACCAATTCTCAAACCAGATTTTAGGATCGCCCAATAAAAAGCGTATAAAATGAACTCTATAAGAATAAGGTTATTGTTTTTGAAAAAATCTAAATAAATTGGGGGTTAAGGGAGGGGGAGGGTTAAAAATAGAAAAATACTAAAACGAAAAACAACATCAACTGAAAATCAATCTCTCTAAGGGGAAGAAGCCCTTTAATTTTGAAAAATCTGATTAAAAATGAGGGGTTTGATGAGGGTTGAAATTTAAAAAAAAAATCACAAATCAAAAACATAAACATAAAATTTTTAGTAAAAATCATGATCTATAAGGAGATGAAGCCTACTTATTCTGAAAAATGTTTTAATAAAAATAGGGGTTAAGGGGAGGTGGAAAATTAAAAAATCCTAACTCGAACACGAACAATAACATTAACTTAAAATTTTTGGCAAAAATCAAGCTCTTATAAGAGGACACAGCCTATTGATTTAAAAAAATGAAATAAAATGGCGTTCAAAGGGGGTTGAAATAAAAAAATATAAATGAAGAACCAAAAACCAAAAGCGGTATCAACTTGAAATGATTATTAAAAATCATGGCTTATAGGAAAATGAATGAATAAATAAATTAATTAAAACGGGGAGATAAGGGGAGTGAAATATTGATAGAAACAAAAAATTATATCAAATTGAACTCTTCAGGAAAAATTAAGCTTTATAAGGGGATGAATTCTATTGATTATGAAAAAAATCTGATTGAAAATAAGGGTTTAACTGTGAAGAGTATAATAAATAATGTCAAGCAGTATATATCTTCATTCGAGTTAATTAATAATACAACTTAGTTTCGGATATCCCATAATCCAAGATTTGACCTTCAGTCTATTATTATTAAATTACACTGATAGTCTATCAAATTAAGACTCAAACACAACAAGTGTTTATTATTAACTGCAAGGTTAGATATATTTGCATTCGTGTAACCCGATTTGTAAACCGATACATTATACTTTCAATTTTGTTAGATATAAGATGTGGTTAATAGTAGTTGTGGTCGTGTTAACTCTTTTGTATTATTTAATACAGAGAAATTACAGTTATTGGAGTAAAAAGGGCGTACCTGGACCTAAACCGAAATTTCTGATAGGCAATTTTGGAGACAGTTTTATTGGGAAAAGATCTAGCGGAGAAATTGTTACGGATATCTATAGGTAAGCATAAATACTCGTAGAGATAGTTTGTATTATTTTTATTTGGCCGGCCACTTTTCAATATTTCGGCAATTAAAAGAAACGTTCTTTATATTATTATTGTACCGCTATGTAGAAGCCGTACTCAAATAATTTTATTTGATGGTTTATATCAGCCCATATTATTTCTGTGAAGCTGGCCCCCCGAAATTCAAAAATTTTAGTTTTAGAAGCGGCATACGTTTGACCACCTATTAACCATGTTTGACCATACACTAACTTTTTTTGACCACCCTCAGAAACCTAAATATTTAAAAAATATATTAATAGTCGAATGCCCGCTGGCCCCCCGCTGACTGCAACACAAGATTAACCAATTTGTGACCAAGTTTGACCACCCCTTAGATTTTTTTTAACACCTCTTAAAATAATTTAAAGGGGGTAGTCAACGTCAAAACATAATTTTAAATCTTTATGGATATTTATTATGTCCTTAGGTCGATTGATAATTTTTTTGAACTAGAAATTGGATTGGGAAATGTTTTCTTTGAATTTTTAACCATCTAAGATATTTTAGGGAGTGATCAAACGGCAATACATAATTTTAAACTTTTTTGGGTCTTATTGTGCCTTTCTGACCATTGATCTATATTTCAAAGTTAAAATTCATCCCAGAACTCTTGTTTTTATATAATTTACCCCCTAAAATAATTTAATATTTCTAAGTAGTGTGAAAATCCGAAAAATACACTTTGAAAAGGGCATTTTGACTTGGAAAAAATGGTCAAATGACATATGTACACAATAAAGATCTATACTAGTTTAGAATTAAGTTTTGGTGTTTGACCACCCCTTAAAATAATTTTAATATTCCCAAGTATTGTGAAAATTCGAAAAATATAATTTGGAAATCGAATTTTGGCTTGGAAAAAATGATCAAAGAATATAAATTCACAATAAGGCCCCATAATGGTTTAAAATTATGTTTTGATGTTTGACTACCCCTAAAATAGGTTTAGTGTTTCTAAGTAGTGTAAAAATTCGAATAATAAAATTTGGAAATCGAATTTCGGCTTAGAAATAAAATTCAGACGACATAAGTTTGCATAAAGATCCATAACGATTTAGAATTATGTTTTGACGTTTGACCACCTCCTAAAATAATTTTAATATTCCCAAGTATTGTGAAAATTCGAAAAATATAATTTGGAAATCGAATTTCGGCTTGGAAAAAATGATCAAAGGATATAAATTCACAATAAGGCCCCATAATGGTTTAAACTTATGTTTTGATGTTTAACTTCCCCTAAAATAGGTTTAGTGTTAGTAGTGTAAAAATTCGAATAATAAAATTTGGAAATCAAATTTCGGCTTAGAAAGAAAGTTCAAACGCCATAATTTTACAACAAAGACCCATAACGATTAGGAATTATGTTTTGACGTTTAAACATCCCCTAAAATAATTTTAATGCGCCCAAGTAGTGTGAAAATTCGAAAAATAAAATTAGAAAATCGACTTTCGGCCTAGAAAAAAAGTTTAAACGACATAAGTTTACCATAAATATCCATAACGATTTAGAATTATGTTTGGATATTTGATCATCCGATAAAATAATTTTAATGTGCCCAAGTAGTGTGAAAATTCAAAAATAAAATTTAGAAATTGAATTTCCACTTGGAAAAAATGGCAAAACAACACAAGTTTACAATGAAGATCCATAACGATTTAGAATTATGTTTTAAAGTTTGATCATCCCCTAAAATAATTTTAATGCGTCCAAGTAGTGTGAAAATTCGAAAAATAAAATTTGGAAATTGAATTTCGGCTTAGAAATAAAGTTCAAACGACATAACTTTACAATAAAAGACCCATAAAAATTAGAAATTATGTTTTGACGTTTGACAACCCCTAAAATAATTTTAATGTGCCCAAGTAGTGTGAACATTCGAAAAATAAAATTTGGAAATCGAATTTCCAATTGGAAAAAATGGACAGAGGACATAAGTTTACAACAAAGACACACAACGATTAAGAATTATGTTTTGAAGTTTGACCACCCCCTTGAATAATTTAAATATGCCCAAGTAGTGTGAAAATTCGAAAAACAAAATTTAGAAATTGAATTTCCACTTGGAAAAAATGGTCAAAGGACATAAGTTTACAACAAAGGCCCATAGCAATTAAGAATTATGTTCTGACGTTTGACCACCCCCTAAAATAATTTTAATATGCCCAAGTAATGTGAAAATTCGAAAAATAAAATTTGGAAATCGACTTTTCACTTGGAAAAACATGGTTAAAGGATATAAGTTTACAACAAAGACCCATAGCGATTAAGAATTATGTTTAGACGTTTGATCATCCTCTAAAATAATTTAAATATGCCGCCCAAGTAGTGTGAAAATTCGAAAAATAAAATTTGGAAATCGAATTTCTACTTGGAAAAACATGGTTAAACAATATAAGTTTACAATAAAGATCGATAACGAATAAGAAATATGTTTTAAAGTTTGACCCCCTAAAATAATTTTAATGTTCCCTAGTATTATGAAAATTTGGAAATCAAATTACTACTTGAAAAAAATAAGTTTACAATAAAAATACATAACGATTTAGAATTATGTTTTGACGTTTGACCACCCTCTAAAATAATTTTAATGTAAAATTAAATGAATAAAACTAAAAGCCAATATAACACATAATTACTAGCGACTACTTCCATTTAGAAAACAAATACTCCTTTGGTTAATACCGCAACAGGTATTGAATTATATCCGAAGGAAAAACAGCAGATATAGAAATTAAATTTGCTCACTAAGGAGAACATCATTCTTGGACCGGTTTCGTACTTATTAGGACTATTCAGCAACAAATAAAATACATAAGTTCTCAATTCCAGTCTCTAATGGAATTAACAAATGCTACACATTTCACCAGTATACAATAAAGTTAGTTACGAAGAGAATAAGAATTCAAATAGTGAAATGGTGTCGCCATCTGTTCCTAGTTAGGAAAATCAAAGGGCGCTGTAGTACCCAGTTAGAAAACTAGGTGGAACCAAAAAACCAGGCTGGCAATTTGTAAAAACGAAAATAAATCAAACTCAAATGTGATCAAGACGTAAAATAAAATGAATAAAACTAAAAGCCAATATTATATAATTACGAGCGACCGTTTTCCTTCAGAAAACAACTACTCCTTTGGCCAAAGAATACATACTCAAGAAGCGAAACTAAATGGGCGATTCGTGGACAAAAAACTGCCAAGTTTTCTCAGTGTTTTAGAGGTAGTTTAACGTCAAATATGCTGTCAATGTATGTAGGGCAACGTTTGGTATATTATTATTAGCGTTTTGTGAAAATTGCAGTATACTTAAGTAGTTGTATTTAACTAAGTAGTAATTAGAAATTAGATAGTTTTAAAATTTGTATTACATGTTCATAAATTTTATTGAACGTTCTAACTGTAATTTTTTTTTATTCTAAATCAGTATTAAGTACCTATAATTATAATTTACGCCTACGTTTAATTACCTATTCTTTTTTTTAAATATGTGATTTTTTTGTTTTTCAAACCAATCAATTTGAAACGGTAAATAAACAATAATATAAAACAATAATTAAAATATATGACAGTACTTCTAGATATGTAACGTGTGACGGGTGGGTTACCCCCACGGCACTTAGGTCTAACTAGGCCCATTGTGTATCCTCCTAAGATGATAGGCACTCCAGCTTGTGAGCCAGCCTACAGATTTAATGTAGTTGACAACGTCGCCAAGAGGTGCTTCTCCTATATCGGCCGGTGTTAGCCAATACTCGCCGAAAACAAATATTCTAATAAATGAGAGCGACAAGCAATCCTAAAGGATATGCTCAATGATCTCATCTTTTTGTTCGCACACCCTGCAGGGTGAGGATTCTGGCAGCCCCACGAAAGGGAGATGCTTCCGTACTTGGCAATGTACAGTCAGTATTACTGTGACCAGACGTAGATTCTGTCTAGTCATAGTCAAGTATTTGTTTGTTGTTGTGTTGCCAGGATAACTTAAAAGCTCCCTGGTAACTCTGCAGTTTCTTGTTTCATTCCATCTTTCCTTCAATTTCACAAGAGAATATTCTTTAATTAGGTCTGTCACTACCGATGTTGTCAGTACAATAGAAGGACAACGTCCAAAAAGTATTTGGGTAGTGAATCAGCAAGAACGTTACCTTTTGATGTGGCGTCACTTTTGATCCATCTTAAGGAGGTCCTTTCGCCACACCTCTCGCCTCAAATGTTAAAAAAAAAGTTATTGGATTATGACTAAAATTAATTTTTTTCTAATAGTTGAAGTCCGTATTTATCTAATACTGAACTTTTAACTATACCTTACCTTGCAAATTTTTGAGAATTTTTTTTTTAAATGTGAGCATTTGTACAGTGCCTCACGAGAAAGTAAGTCCTCAACAACAATTCTAGAATTATATTATTATTTATTGATTAGATGGAGTAGAAAAAAACTAAAAATAAGGTTTTTGAAATATTTAGATTTTGTTTTATACAATAAAATATATATAGTAAACCGTGGAACTTATTGAAAAAATAATATTAAAAAATCACAAAAAATTTTCAAGTAACCTAGTTGAAATTTTTTTGTGATTTTTAATAATAATTTCTCAATAAATTCCACGGTAACCTATATATTTTATTGTAAAAAACAAAACCTAAATATTTCAAAAACCTTATTTTTAGTTTTTTTCTACTCCATCTAATCAATAAATAATAGTAAAATTAACTATAATTCGAAAATTGTTGTTGAAGTCTTACTTTCTCATAAAACACTGTACAAACACACACTTTTTTAAAAAAAATTTTCTCAAAAATTTGCACGGTAAGGTATAGTTAAAAGTTCACTATTAGATAAATAAGGACATCTACTATTAGAAAAAAATGAATTTTAGTCATAATCTTATATTTTTTAATTAACATTGGTGGCAAAAGGACCTCCTTAAGGTAACCACTTTGTTGGATGGATATT